GGAAAATTCAAAATGAACTTTATTAAACTTGGAAATATTATTTCTAAGTTGAATAAGGTTGTTGATAAATATATTGTTCAAAATAATATTAGTTAGTAATTAAATAAATATATATTTATATATGTACTCGGTTTTATTACCGAAATATTATATATATTTATATATTTGTATTTTAATTACATAAATGACTAATATATATTTTGGAAAGTTATATCTCAGTAAGAAAAAGAATGTTTTTCAAAATATTAAATTTTTGTAATTTAATATTTTCGAAATCAATTTAAATGGCTTTTTATAACTTATTGAGATTTAACTAATATATTTTGGAAATAATGATTTATAAATTTTGGAAATTTTATTTCCAGGTTTATAAATGTTAAAAATAACTACTGGAAGTTGAAATTTAATTTTCATGATTTTTGCAAAATTGTTTCAAAATTTTAATGGCCTTTTTGAATATAATTTTGCAAAAAGGGCATTTTGGTCATTTGGAATATTCTGGATATTTTTTATGCTGTCAGAATATCCAGAATGCATAAAATGATTTTATAAAATTTTATTTGATTTATTTGGACATCTAATTTAATTTTATGAGTTTTAGAAAATATTTACTACCGTAGTATTTTTCTAGAACTGTCTGGGGTGAGCGCGGTTCACCCGGTGTATGTATATCTCTATTGCTTATGTGGATGTATGATATGCATGGTGGATGATTGTGGCTATAGTTTATTTGATTATAATACGGCCTGCGTGTCGTGCCTTATCTCATAAACTCTTGTTGTAAATCTATTTCTCTTCCTTACCTCAACCGAGGATTCTTTTCTTACGTGGTGGTTAGAAGACAAAAAGATTTGAAGACCGTTTGAAGAAATCTAAAAGAATGGAGATAGCCCAAAGTCCAAGTGACCGGAAGCCAGTGGGAGCTATCGTTTTATTTTTCTTTTAGGGGCCACAATCATTACACGTTTATTTACTGCGTTTTGTGAATGCATGTTGAATGTATGTTGAACACTAGTAATGGACATGTGTGCGGCCATGTCGATAGGTGAGATCGAAATTATAAATCCCTCACGAATATTAAGTCTGTCGCCTTCTGACGCCCGGCACCTATCCCAACATTTCACAATCGATTGACACTCCTCTGATAATCGATTATATTCTTTCTCAAAAAATTCCCCGAAAATTGTCCAAGAACTTGAAGCCGTCAACAATCGATTATCCACTTAGGACAATCGATTCTCTCCCCCTCCCTGCAAAAAAAGAGATTGTAACTGTTGGAGTTGTGCCCTGATGGCCAACTGTTTATCGTTATTCTATCATGTATAGGCAGATATAATATGTTTACACATCTCATGCTGATGTAAACAAATATTATATTCCTAGATTTATATTTAAAAGATGTTTATCAGATAGTGTTTTTCTGCTGATGAGACTAACATCTTGAAATAAATATTTATCTAAAT